AAAAAAAGTTTGGGTTCTTTTTTTTTTTTTTTTTTTTTTTTTTTTTACTTTTTTTTTTTGGGGGGGGGGGAGGGAGGGATGGGGGAATGGGAGGGAGCTGAGCTCCTTTGCGGTAAACGTGGGGAAGGGGAGGTGGTTTCCTGCCCCCTGCCGTGGCCCCGTAGATCCTTCAGCCATGCAGTGCCCACCAGCAGACCCCAAATCGAACCCCGTGCTCACTCTCCATGCTCTCTCTCCGGGGGTTCCCAGCAGGACAGGCTGTGCAGGGACACTTCTCTGCGGGTGCAGGCTCCAGGCTGCTTTTAATTAACGCTGCTAATTGGTTCCCTGGCCGGGCTGCACCACGTTTCCCCGTGCGGGGTGGGCAAGAGCTTCCTAAAAGGGCTGAAACTCTGCTGATGCAGCGCTATGTGCTGGGGACCCACAGGCAGTTCTGTGCTGAGAGGGGATGCATGGCTCACCCCGGACGGACAGCACGGTGGGCACACAGAGGGGTGCTCGGCACCGCGACCTCAGACGCGCTGCCGGCGTTTCCCTGTTCCCGCTGTCGGCTGCGACTCGGTGGGAAGGGGAGGGGGATTATTTTTCACGGCAATTTCCACCCCAAAACCCCATTTATTTTCCAGCCTTGGTCTTGTCTCAGCTCCCAGTGCAGCCGGGAGCCCGGCGCGTCCCCAGTGTGGGGGGAGCAGAGGCACTGGGGTGCTACAGGTGCTTTGGGAAGAGCTGGAGCGCTGTTGGGTGGCCCGTCTCAGAGCATGCAGGTGGAATCGCCACCGCCGGGCGATGCGGGCAGCGAGCATCCTGTGCCACCTGCTGTAGATAGAACAGCATTTACGGAGCGGCGTCGGGTTTCTATGCCGGCACCGGCTGTGCTCGTCCCAGCGCCGGTGCCCTCGCAGCCTTTCTTTACGCAGGGAAAAGTTGTCCCAGCGCCCACCGGACGCAGTGCCGTGCGGGCAGCGGTGAGCCGCTCTCGGCAGCTCCGGTCATTGTCTTGCAGCGGGCGAGAGAGGAGCCCCGCCGCTGCGCTTCACCCTATCCCATCGCCGCTAATTCGGGCACAAGAGCAGCAGTAACCGCATGTAAAATCCCACTTGGGTCCGAGCCCCGGCTGGGAAGTGCCAGCGGCGCTCCTGGTGCAACGCCGTTCCCTCGGTCGGGCATCAAAAGCTTTCGGAGTGCGCAGGGCTGTGTGCTGGGGACAGCAGTCCCCGCTCCTCCAGGATGGGACTTTTGCAAGAAAACCACCAGAGGATTTTATGGAGGGAAAAAAAAAAAAAAAAAAAAAAAAAAAAAGTGAGATTTTAGGAAACGGCGCTTTGCATCTTATGTACATTTCTAGTATCACTTCCTGTATATTTTTAAGCCGAAATCCTCTTAGCATGCAAAGTAAATAGATTATGATATAGCGAAGGATTAGGAATCCCTGTCTGGTGTCGGATTAATCCCTCACACAGACCATCACTCGCGCTGACAGAATCGTGGCTGCCGTTCAGCACACAGCTCTGCGTTCCACGCTGCCCCTGCCGTCCCTGCGCACCGCCCCACAGCCGGGCTCGGGGCTCTGGGGGAGAACTGCTGGCCGACAGCAAGCACACATCTTTTATTGTGCTCCATACAGGTGTTTTGTTCACAAATCGCTTCAGATTAAAAAAAAAAACCAAAAACGTTTACAGCTCACCTTCCTTTTCAGGACAGAAAAAAACAGTTTTAAGACGATGGTGATGGGATGGAAGGGGGAGAGAGCCCCGGAACCCGCCCTCACGGCCCTAAACCCGGCGATGCCGCAGGGCTCGCTGCCCTCGGCGCGCTGCGAGGGGCCGATTGGGATCGGGGCTCCGATGGAACGGTGCTTAAGAGGCTCCGCGTCTTATTTTAAAGGCAAAATAATGGTTATTCAGCTGAGATGATACAGCGAGATATGAAAATGGAGAGCATTCTTAGCAAAACGCCGCCGACTGTGAAAGGCACAGAGGTATCCTGAGTGGAGATGTTATCTGCCCCTATCTCAATGGAACGGTTCTCGGAGCCTGAAGTGGAAATTCAAATCTGCTTCCGAGCACAGATTGCTAAAATATATAACACAGGAGAAGTTTATGGCTGCACCCAGTGCAACCAGTCCATGCAGTTAGCAGGGAGCTGCAATTAGTCCATTTGTTAATGTCAGTGAGTGGCACGGGAACAATGTCACCAAGATGTAGGCACATGTGGGGCATGGCCATGCTTGCCATCATAGGTCTTCTCCGCCTGGAGCTGTGTCTGGTGGGCTCTCCACAGACGCCACGGAAAGGGTCACACCAGCCCCAGGTGCACGACTTGGAGAGAGTCTCTGCCCCGCGGCCCCTGCAGGGAGAAAATCAGGACAGCATGGATGGGGACCATGCCCTGGTGCTCCCACTGCCACCCGCCCAGGGACCGGGGGCAGCCCTGACCCGGCAGCACGGTGCAGGGCACCGCTCCCCACCTTCTCCCCACTCCCACCCCTCCAGACCTGGCTGGAGGGTGAAACTTTGTATTTTAGTTAACATTTTCATTAAAACATTCCTCCAGCACCTCATGGCTGGGCTAATGTCAGCGGGGAGCCAGCCAGGTTGTCAGAGTGGTGTGGGGATGGCATTTTGCATTCCTAATACGATGCAAATAGCGATGGAGGCAGAACTATGTGCACGTTACCTCCTCCGTCTGCGCTGTGCCGGTGCACAATGGAAAACTGAGCCCTCAGTTTTTGTACAGGACATGACAACGTGCACCGCAAAGAGAGGGCATTTCATAACACGGGCTAGCGTGCCTGCGAAATGCGTGAAATACTTGGAAAGAGCTGCAGCCCAGTGAGTCATTGCTTTCTTTTGGGTTACACAGAGCTACTGGCTCCCCATGATGCAAGCAGAACCAGGTGTGGAGCCGAACACCCAGGGAAATGTCTGCCTGCCCCATCCCAAAGCATTTGTCTCTGCCCACAGGGTGGAAGCAGCCTCTCAGTGCGGAGCAGAGCCACACTTGTTTGGGATCCGAGGCTGCTGGATAGGTCCTCACTTCTCCAGGCTCAGGGGCTTGCATGCCCCAGCTTTGTGACTTGTGCTCTGTCTGAAGAGAAGCGTTCAACTCCCACCAGCTGAGCACTGCAGACCTACCCGCTTGTGTGTTTTTTGCATACGCTCCTTTAGAAAACTTATTTGCAAACCTATCTGGCCTCAGCAATGCAGAGCTGGTGGTGCGGCGTGGGAAGGCTGTGATGTGGCGTTGAGCCCAAAGGGGTGTTTGATGCAAACCAAAGGATGAGGAGCGATCACGGCTGGAGCTCCCTCCTGACATGTGCACCTTTCCCAAAGTAGCAATAAAAGGAGCCATCAACATCTGATGAGAGTGGGGTTTTGCAGCATGGGAATAGGGCTGCACAGGCAGCGGTGGGGCTGATGTCCCTGGAGGCGTTCGAGGAACGTGGAGATGCAGTGCTGAAGGACATGGTCAGTGGGCATGGTGGGGATGGGTTGAGGTTGGACTTGCTGATTATAGTAGTTGTTTCCAACCTTAGCAATTCTATGAACAGGGAGCTGATATCGCAGCAGTCACCATGAGCAGCTCATGGGGCTTTGTGTGTCAATGGGGTGGTCCCAATGCTCAGCCTCCTCAGGTCTATTTCCATTAGGCTCCAGGAGCAGAAAACAGAAGAAAACTCATCAAGAGGTTGGCAGCCTGCTCCCCAGGGCCTCCACTTGTTCTGCCAAGAGTGCCCTGGTAGCCAACAGAAGTAGGGAAAGAGTTGGAGGGGATACCACCCCAGCCCCAGGGTCTCCTGATTTTAAACACCTGGCTTTGCAGGCTGAGGCTGCCTGATCCCAGACCAAGACATGGTTCCTGTTTGGCCCCATAGGCAGTGCTCCTTTTGACTGGAAAGGCCTTCCAGTCTCCCTCAGATAGCATTGTGCAAAACCTTTCTGGCTGACAGCGATTCAGCTGCGTAACAGCATATTACAATAGTTACTTTGCAGTCACCAGGCACTTTGCCTTCAGCACCTCCAGTTCCTGTAAGTAAGCAAGATTCACCTCCATTCACCTCCAACATGGAAGCAACAAAGCAGCTGAGATCCATGTTTTCCAGAGATACTGAGGCTGGTAAGCAGGGTGGCTTGGCTCTGAGGCTGGGTGCTGCTCCACAGAGGCTCTGACCTAAATAGCTTGCTCAAGATGCTCAGCATGTGGAGTAACGCACGCAGGGAGGGACCTCTGGGATCACCTGGCCCAGCTCCATGCTCAGAGCAAGGAGACGGGGGCCAAACACAAACTGCAAGCTGGGACTGCCCTCACCCATCACCTCACGTGTGCCCCTGCACGATCATGCCTCTGAGCTGGGCGCTGGAGGGCCATGGCTTTCCTCAAGGAAATCAATCCCATCTGACTGCTCGAGCACCAGGCAGGCTGGCAGCCTTGGACACAGGAAGCTTTCTCATAGCCAAGAGCGCGGCGGGCGAGGAGGATTGGGCCCACATCAGGTGCATTTCTCACTGGAGACTCCAGGCTTTTTGTGCTGGGTCACTTCAGCATTTTCACCAATGCAGAGGAGCAAACAACACATCCTCCCCCTCATGGTCACACAGATCGTCCTGCAGCACTGACTGTGCAAGGGCTGGGCCTTGGTGTGCTCCCCTCAGCGGCACTGAGACCGGCACAGTGAGGGCTCCCTCTGAGGCAATGCATAGGCTGTGGTGGTAAAGGGATGGGGAGCAGGAGGGTGCAGGCCTCAGGACCTTGGGGACACAGAGACTTGGGGATGGATGCTCTGGTACGGCTCTGTGAGGGGCAACACAAAATGGCAGTGCAGATCTGGCCCTGAAATGCCAAGTCCAGCACCCTGCCAGGAACCAGAGCTACTGCTGAGCACAGATTTGGGGTGAGCATTGGATGGGCAGAATGAACGGCAGCGCTCAGGGTGGGTAACAAACAGGAGGGTACAGGGGGCCAGAGTGTGCATCAGCCTCCAGAACACAGGTTTCCAAGCACCATCACAGGTCACGACAACCTAGCAGCACTGAGCTAACATCACGTGGATGGCTCTTCTGCCCCACACCAGAGCACACAAAGGGCTCCTTCACCCTCAGCACATCTCGCCTACCCACAGCCCCAACTGCTCACAGCTGCTGTCTTTGAGCTCATTTACACAACACAAGGTCTTTTTCTTGCTGTTCCTCCCTCAACACAACCTGTTCATCTACACAACCATGGTGACAATCCAACTAACTTTTGGATTGATTAATTGCTCACGTGGGGTGAGGAGCATCCTCCGCCCAGCTCAGGAAGAACACAGAGCCAACTAATGTCCCCAGCCCATTCCTGCAACCCCACCTCACTCCATATTGCATCCTCAGGCCACCAGAGGGGACAGCCCACCACCTTGGTCCCAACACAGTGAACTCCATCACCCGCTGCCAGCCAACCCCATCCTCCACCCGGCCTGAATGCTACAGAGGTGGGGCAGGCATGTGTTCTCCAGCACTTCAGGACTGGTAGAACAGCTCTTAGAGCACGATTTCACTTGGCACAGCTTTGCAGTGAAAGAAAGAAAGAAGTGCCATCCTGCTTCGCTGGAAGGTTGAAGCGTTCCTTTTTTTTTTTTTTTTTTGATCTGTTTGTACCATGGCCAAACACTGAGTACTTCAGACTCAAAAATAAGAGCTTCAACAAGAACTGTAATCAGGAGGAAGCTAAAATAAAGAAAGCCTTCTGCCTCTACCCATGCTGCTGCCACGCAGATTGTATTTTATGTATTTTTTCCCCCTGTAAACTAGAACTGGAGGAGCACTTCAGTGCAGCACGCTGCTGACTCATCAGGCGATGTATGTGCTCTATTGGCACCAACACCGAGCCACCCAAGCTGGCACCAGCCCAGGCCCTTACACACAATGGGTGGCTGCTATGCTTGGGATGGGGCACAGTCCTGTTCCCCCCCCCAGCTTGTGCAGCTCCTGGCCATGGAACAAGCACCCACACTGCCACAGGGGAGAAGGACTGAGGCTGGTTGGAGGAGAAGAGCTAGGCCATCTTTTTTTGGCAGCACCTTGCAGTTAAATCAGCTTCAAGTGATCATGAAAACCCAGGATAGGATTTCACTCCTCTCTACAGCAGTCTTGCTGCTTGAAAGCACGAATGCAAGTGCCAGCTAACTCACTGAGATGAACGTGGGTTGAGGACAGTAAGGGCTTTCTTGTGTTCTATTCAGCAGCCAGTAGATGATGACCATTTTTGACTGCCACACGCTCAATCCAACACAGCCCTGTCCTGACCATGCAGTACGCAGAGCCCTCCTACCGATCCCAGCAAGAGCCTGCAGGCAGGCAGCTTGCAGGAGCAGGCTTGGGGAGTTTCAGGAAGTTGCAAAAATAAGAGTAAATAACAACAAGCAGGAATTAAAAATAAATAAATCAGATGTGCATTACCTGTTCTGAAGGAACTGCTCTCAAATTTCCTTTAAAAAAAAAAACAAAAAAAAAAAACCAACAACACAGAAGATCACCATGTTATTTACATTCCATTGAACTCGTTGAAAAACCCAAATAAACAAGGGCACGGCATTAGGTAACTCTTTCACTTTTTTGATAGGACACAGCTATTTTATATCCTGTTATTCAATGGCTCAATTAAAATATTTAATACATCACTCCTGCAGGTTCATACATGTAGGACACATATATTCCTTGAAACTCTACGCCACGTTAAAGCAACAGTGATTTGTGCACACAGGGCAAATTGGAGACACAGGGCAGCAATGGGATCAGGTTCTCACGTTGTGCCCGCTCCATGGGTGCTGCTGGCAGTGGGATGCTCACAGTGCACTGCTTGGGCTTGGGGAGCTGTGGGGTGCCTTGTGAGGGCTGTGCTGTTGGAGGTGCTGGGGGTGAGGCTTCAAGTTACGGCTTGAGCAGAATTACCAGCTGCATACGTCAGAGAGAAGTCCCGCTGCAGGCAATCAGTGCCTCGCTTGGTGCCAGCTGGGGTGGCCTCTTGTCTCTCCAGGCAGGGCATTCTGGCTGAGGGGAGGGAGTCTAGAGGAAGGTAGGGGACTGGCTCCCTTCTTACAGCCCCATTGTACAGGCAATGGACACCCGGCAAGACAGAGGGCAAAAAAATCCCTTCTCCCTGCCCAGTTGAGATTGCAGGATGACTCTCACTGTAGTGTTCTGCTGGAGCACTACTCCATTACACTGCTAGGCTACTTTGGATCTGGCCTTGGAGGAGCAGGACAGCTATATGCATTTGCTGCAGAACTCCTGCAGAAGCAGTGTGAACTGCTGCTTTGCTAACTTAAAGCTGCTGGGAGACCTGGCCATTGCACACCCAGAGCAACACCAGAACTAACAGACACCTTGCTTGTCTTCTGACTGTGTCAAATCTGGAACAGCACTGCAGGATCAGTAGCTTCACAAGACCAGGAGACTGACTTCTGACCTGAGAGCAGGCACCAGGAGCTCTAGCTGGCACCTGCTGCAGAAGTCCCTCTTCCTGCTGTGCAAAAGAAGCTCAAGGCTTATTTAATTCCTAAACCCAACTCTTTGTCCAGATACTAATCACTGTTACTTTTCCATCTCCATACTGCTGCATACACTCAGAAGCAACCTGGCTGCTTACCTTCCTGGTGCTCAGAAGAGGATTTCTCCATCAGGGAGGTGACACCTGCTCCAGGCTCCCCATCACTATCCTCCACCAGTCCACAGCAAGTGGATCTTAAAAAGAAAGCAGATGTGATAGGAGTGGAGGGAGCAAAGGAGGTATTGCAGAGCAGGTCTTATCAAAGCATACAAGATAACTAATGGGCAGATGGGGCCAGGCTCTTTTCAGCAGCAACCAGAGACAGGACAAGGGACAACAGGCACAAACTGAAAAAGTTTGGTTTTCCCAATGCCTTTTTTCCCCCTCTGTACAATCAAGAAATACACAGTTAGTAGAGTAGTGTGGTTAGGATGATACTTCACAGATTTTATAATTAGAAAGACTATGGTGATGGAAAGAGATAATAAAAATAAATGAAATGCTCACCCATATCCCAGACACAGCAAAAAATACTCCAAAGGAAACAATCTCCAGAAAGAGATTCTTCCCCAGTGGCAGTCAGCCCTTAAATGGGGTCTAGGAGAGGTGTAGCCAGGCTCCACACCCCTTCTGGTCACACAGAATTGCCTTCACCTGTGCTCCCAGGGCTGACTCAGTGCTTTTCCCAGGTGATCAATCAGTGGTTCAGGCCATGATTCAACAGTTCCCATACACCCTCCTACCAGTGGAGAGATGGCTATGCAAGCAGCTGGGCATCTGCCATGCAACTAAAAGCAATGCTCCTCATCTGCTTTCCCAAGCCACGCTTAAGCTGCAGTAATGCAACTACAGGTTGTACTAAGCTTTATTGGTTCAGCAAAAGAAACTAAGAAACTTCATTGGAGACCAGATTATGCTGGTTGCAGAAATAAAGAGATTCTTCTGCTCTTTGACCCCACTATCTGCTCTGTAGTACCTTGATCAGCTTTCTTACATGCAGCCTTGGATTCTGCTGAGACCTGTAAATTGCTTTTTTGGCTGCCAAATTGCCATAACCCTTCTATTTTTATGTTTTAAAAGAGCTTAAAACCATCCATCCTCTTTGGACATGTCTTTAAAATTGACCAATACTGGGAGGATTTCATGTATATCCGAAGGCTTAGAAGAAGATGTTACTTTTACCCGGCTTCCAGTTTTACTGTCAACAGACATGAAAAGCCCAGCGGGGATAAAAGGAACTTAACCAGTTCTGTCTAATGCATATAAATCTACCTAAGAGCTCAAGGCACTGGAAATACTCAGTGCGCTGCATTTATCTGAGCCTAAGACAGTGAAGTGGGTCTTCAGCCCATGTGCCACATGTCCCATCCAGATGCCAAGTTAATATGAATTAGGAGACCGAGATGAATAAACAAGGTCAGCCCAGGCTGGGCCAAATTGAATCAATGCAAAATAATTGTCAGTATTTTCTGTCAGCGACGGTGGTTTATCTTGGCTCGGGATTCTCGGCGCTGTAGGTTATAGAATGTTTTCAGTGGAAGAGTTGGCAGACATTGTATTGATTTTTCTTTGTTTTGTGAATGCTGGAAAAATTTCCATTAAGTCTATGTGGTGCTCATGTGACGAAGCCAAATTTCTTTTTCAAAACTTTTCGTGCTTCAAGTGAGCTAATGTGGCCATATAGCACTCTAATTTCATCAAGAGGACCTTTGTCTGGAATCAAGAGGCTGTGCAGTGCACCTCAATGCATCTTGAGCATGTATTGGCTAATAAGAGTTAATTTTGAATCGTCAAGGTGCTGTGCACGTGCTAATTAATTTGCCTGACGTACTGCGTCTGTTTGCTCCTGCCACCTTCCTGATGCACATGAAGCTCCCGTTGCCTTCACTGGGGCTGAGCAGGGTTGAAGGATGAGTTCTCTGGTTCTTTCTATGCTGATTCCACTGCCAATGTATATGGATAGGAAAGACTGGTCAGGTGATCTGCTCTTAATGCTTCAAGAGGTGTGACTGGTTTACAGTTCAAAATACACAAGCATGCCTCTGAGCTCCGCATAGCAACTTCGTAGAGGAGTAGAAATACATCTGTTCTTCAGTACATGAAAAGAGACAGGAAAGGGATAAAAAAAGACTGAGATCTTGTAAAAATATCGGATCTTACAAAAACTGCCCTTATTTACAGGCAGCACAAGAGTTATGCTGGTCAGAGCATCTCCACAAACAGAAAAACAAATAGGGAAAAAAAATGAATAATGAGAGAGAACAAGAACTGCTGGGCTGTAGCCTATCTGCCGTTTGGAAGGGCAGAATGACAGTGGTCAACACCTAAGTCAGAGATGAGACTTGTAAAACATTCCCTGTTCTGTGGTACAGTGCAAGAAACCACACAGCAAATAAACTGCCCTGCCTGGAGCACTGCCCAGCACTTTTCACAGCCACAGCTCTGTGCACACTGTTTGGAAGGTTGATTACATGTCAGCACTGCCATCACGCGCTACTTCCATAAAACACTGCAGAGTTACTCCAGTTTTCTTTGCCATCTGTAATACTCATTTTAGCCCCAAACGAAATTTTCTGCTTTTTGGCTGTTAGGGCAAAACAAGCAGCTGGAGTTCACCCACAATAGGTTCTCAGGGAAATATATCTTCAAGACTATTTTAGGATCTATCTGTTTGGTCCTGGTCACAGGCTCTGCCCTTCCTCGCTAGGCAGAGCCAGAAAGGAGATGGTGGTGTTAAGAGTTAATTGATTTGTTAATTATGCAGCCTGAAAACTGCACTTCTGTTACACATATGCTCCCTGAGGGACATCAGTAGCAGGTTTATTAAGCTAAGCTCTGTCTTCAGAGCTTGCCTGGGGCCTTTGCCTAGATGCAATTCATGAGATACATCTCAGCTGTTCCAAAACAGAAGGATGGTCTGTGTTTAAATACAGGAGACGCAGTTGAGGTATGCGCTGAATATGATCTTCCAGAACCTTGGGTGAGATAGAAATTCGGGACCATTTCTGGGTCTGATGGGTGGTGATGTTTGGCAGTGACACAAGCCAATGATTTTGGGATGCAACTAGCTGGTCCAAAGACATAGAGCCAAAGCAGACGAATAAAAGACTCTGGGAAAGAACAATGAGCAGCCATTGAGTGCTGTGCTTGCTAAAGACTGACAAAGTCCCACTGTGGTGTCTTGCAGAGGTATAGGGGGCTCTCCTCGCCAAAGGCAGCACAGCCTGGTAACTTTGCTGTGTACATCTGAATTTATGCAGGCCAAGTGTATGTGAGCACGTACATGTGCATGTGAGCATGTACTGATTTTGTGAAACTTCTGATTTACTTGCACAGATAAGGCTGTGGGGATTTAATGATGCCAAATATTGATGCTCAACTTGCAAAGAACATTAGGAAGTTGGATGCTAGGTTGGAAAGGGCCTCTGAAGGCCATCTGGTCCCATTCGCTTCTCACAGCAGGTTCAGCTGTTAAGTCAGATCCAGCTTCAAGGCTGTGGTGCATGACCCAGCAGGGACCTGTGGCACTGGTGAACACTGGGCAGCTCACAACGAGAGCAGCAATACCTCCCCTTGTGCTAAGCTTGGGGCAACCCTCCTGAGCACAGAGCTGAGCTCATCACCGCAACCACAAGCGACATTTGCTGTATGATGTCATGGTATGCCAATGTGCAGGGGAACAAAGCAAACAAAAGCTATAGGCTAATGTTGCTCCTCAGACTGCAAATCAAGACCTTCGTGACAATGTCTCATGGATTTCAGTGATGCTGAGGAGGCAAATCAACAAGGTGCCTGCAATAATACACACAAAGCAGGGCTTGGCCAGGACAGGAGGCTGTATGATGCCTGGGGTTGGGAACAGAAAGGAATTGTAGTAAATCTATTACTAAAAAGGAGTTTTCTTCTCTTCTTTTTGTCTCGAAAGACTTCAGAAGCAAATAGGAAATGATTCAGGCTGTACATTTATCTCACTGGTGAGCAGAATACATAAACACCAAAAACTAGCATTAAACAGCGTGAGGAATTGTGTAAGTCAATAACAAAACAAAAAAATGGCCAAGCTAATGAACAATGGAGGGCCTTTGAAGGGGGGAGGATGTGTCCTGGTTATTGATTTTGAAACTGCAGGTAGTGGTTGGAGGCTGTGGAGAAGTGGACAGTGAAAATGTCAGATATGCATTTATGATGTGGGAAACTGGTTAGAATAACAATGTTGCTGTGCTCTTCCTAAAATGCTCAGCTGCAAGGCACTCTGCATCTGCCATTCCATGCACTTTGCAGTATTTTAAGGTGTTACTGTTGCCATGTTTCAGGTGAATTCCCAGAGGCAACAGAAAGCATGTAAGTTCTAATTTCGGGTTCCTATGTTGAGCCAATTTAAAGACTTCCTAAAATGCTGCTTAACCATCTACCCATCACAGAGCAGGATGTTTCCTGATGCCTCAGATTAGGCAGCAAAGTCTCCAGTAATGCTGGAGTATCCTGGCCAGAGAGATGAGCCGTAAATGTGACTGTGGCCCACACAGAATGTGCTCAGCACGATTATATGCAACCAGGATGACTCACCAATGTGGAAGTTCAATGCTGTACTCACGCTAAATTTACTAACAATGTTTTTACATACAGTAAGGACAGAAAATATACTCACTATAAACAAATAACTATTTCTTTCTTATCAGGGAAAACAGGAGAAACAAACTATTTTTTGATCTCTATGAAGAACTGTTTCATTCCCATTTCCAGTAGGTTGCACAGGTAGGCATCCAGATGGGTCCTGAATATCTCCATAGAAGAAGACTTCACAACCTCTCTGGGCAGCCTGTCCCAGTGCTCAGTCACCCTTACTGTAAAGAAGTTCTTCCATGTTAGTATGGAACTTCCTATGTTCACGTTTTAGACCATTATCCTTTGTCTTCACACACTTCCAAGAAGAGGCTGTCCTCATCCATTTGCCTCCCACCTCCCTTTAGATACGTTAGTTAGCATGCTAGTTTCTCTCACAGTGAACAAGTTCCAGGTTTTATTCAACTTCGGCAGAAGCGTGCTCTCTTAACATCATCCTGGGGATTTTGATCCCAGAGCTGGTGATGAGCTTACAGGCTCCAGAAAAGATCACACTGGATGTTTAGAAGAGCTGCTCACACCCCACCTACCAAGCACAGCATTTCCATTGCTGCATTTCTCTCTTCTGCACATTTACTGAAGCAGGCCCCCATCTACCCAAGTGTTTTAATTCAAAAGTGGTTGTGATGGTGCAAGACAAGTGGAGCCAGCAGGAACAAGCACAGCAGCTCAGCTCACCTGTGGGAAGAGGCCAGCATAGCCGGGCTGGCTGTGGGCACGTCGTGCTCAGTTTGGTGCTCTGGGACCTGACCACCAAAGGCCTCGTGCGATGTATCCTCTTCATCTGCACGCCCCAGGAGTTCTGCAAGACCAAGCAAGTTATGGGATCAGGCTGGCTCAATGGAAAAGCAAACTGCCAGCTGTTTGTCATGTGTTGCAGAAAACCACATGCTTATGTACCTTTCACTCTTGACTTCTTTCCCTGAAAAAGAGACCATGTAGCTAACCACCACCAGCAGCTGCCATAAGGATCCAAGTACAAAGGGATGGAACGGGACCCCCATGCTTGTGTAACTTAGGATCATTGGGTCATTAAGGTTGGAAAGACCTCTAAGATCATCCAGTCCAACTGTCAGCTCATCCCCACCGTGCCCACTAACCATGTCCACACCATCACATTTCCTGAATTATTCTTATCTTTGTTCCAAAAATATTTTAGTCAGTGATCAAGTCCCGAAGCCTTCAGGTGAAGGACATGAAGGATGGGCTTTCTATTCCCAAATTCCAGACTGAGCCCTTTGGGGAGGGGAATTGCTTCAAAATACAAAAGAACTTGGAAATACAGAGCAGGAACTGTATATTCAAGGTGTGACACTTAAAATAAATAAATAGCGTAATCAAGCCGCAGGCTGGCAGAATTTGGATTAAGGAAAAATGCTGTTACAGATACAGACATTCAAAGATTTTTTTCTCGAAATCATAAGACCTTTTTGCATTTATTTATTTTTTCCTTTTTTTAATCCTGTTTTTCTGCCCTTGTTCTCTGCCTTCCTGGATCCTGTATAAGCTAATCTGTGTGATACCCATGGCAACACCATGGGCAGTGCAGAGAACATAATGCTCCTGTGAGCATTGCTATACTGCTACTTTACATTTTGACCAGGGACTCAGGATGCTCACCAGATTAGGAGGGCAAAGCTACTTGTAAGCATTTCTGCATCTCTCAGTCCTAAAAAATGAATGCTGTCAGATTGCTGCAGACTATTCCTACACTCCATGCTACTCAGATACTATTAACGTCTGCGATGTGCAGGAGGGTGATGTATAGCAGCTGACTGGGCTTCCTAAAGTATCCCATCTTTTTGGAGCTGCCCTTTCCCAAGGAGGGAATAATGTAGAGAATCACTGCCAGCAGCCAACTCAGTCAGGGGCCACACCTCCAAGCATGCACACAACACTGCGATAAATAAATAATAGACTTGCCTTGAATAATAAACCAGCTTTGGTGCATTTTTTCCTTTATCTTGAATAAAAAATACAAAGAGAAAAAAAAAAAAAAAAAAAAAAAAAAAAAAAAAAAAAAAAAAAGGAGGGAAGAAACACAAGCAATGCTCAATGTCTAGGAAGCTCTAGGCAAGTGAAGCGGGTTCCTCTGAAGGTCTCTTGTTGAGGCCTGTGTGGTGAGCAGTCATGAGAAGAAGGGAAACAATGACAGCAACCTAAAAGGCACAGGAAAAGCTGCTTTTGGTGTGTGTTAAGAGCTCTGGGAAGTGGTTTACACAGCATTCCTGCTGCTGTATGCTCAGACAAAATCCAGCAGTGCTCTCGCAGGATGGGTGTTGACACCCTTTGCTTGGGAATACGGTTCTCACTGCCACATTCTGCCTGTTCATTAAGTGCTTGGAAACCTCAAACCCTCCAGCTTTCTAAATGTTAAGGCTAAACCATGCAGGCTGAGTCAAACTGGTGTCATTCATCTCTTTTTTCATTTCTTTTCACCAACACCTGATTTCCAGAGCTTCCCATTACTCCAAGGAGCAATGGCATTTTCACAGAATCACAGAATCACAGAATTGGAGGGGTTGGAAAGGACCTCCAGAGATCATCGAGTCCAACCCCCAATTTGGTAAAAGCCTGAGAAATCCCAGGAGAGGAGAGGGTACTGAGAACCGAAATAAGATTTGGTCAGCTTTGACCTCTTCCCATCGTCGTGTTGCCTCACATGTTCTCTTCCCTGCTCAGAACCCTGACTGGGGATGAGAGCAGTTCTCACCTATGCAGAATACAAATGGATTGCTTTGCTTTTTCATATCTCAGTTCAATAGCTGAGACTGAAGTCAGGCTGCTAACACTGAGCCTGTCCTGTCTGGGTGTACAGCTGTGGTGTTGCAGTGTGATATTAGATACGATCAGATGCCACACATGGTTCAGAGCCACAAAACCTGAAGTGAGTGCCCTACAGTAGACACACATGCTTTTGCTGTGGGACACTGGCCCATTTTCCCTGTGAGAAGGAGATTTGAACCTTGAGAGTTGGTATCTCGGCTAGCATTGTTTCTTCAGTAAAGTTATTTATCAGATGCAATAATATGAATTAAAGCATGCTGGAAATGTTTATCTACTAAATCCCAGTTGTCACAAATAGTGTCAGGATAATGTTGTACCCGCACAGCCATACAATGTGCATTCTGCATTTCCTCAATTTGCTGATGGCTGCTCTTAATCCACCTATAGCACCAGGCAGAAAGAGCCCAGGATATTTCTTCAGAAGACCCCTGAAATTTCTCCTATGCTTTATGGAGCAGGATGCACTCCAAACACAACACACAGGTTCTGAGACCTCAGCCCTCTCTGCATCGCTATTTAACTGTGTCTATCCTCCATTGGATCAGTGTCTGCAAATCAGAGGCTGTTTCCATTCTCCAGCCTCCTCCACTGGGCTTTCAGGGATAAAAAAGAAAAAAACATCTGAAAGCATGCAATCACACAGCAAAACGAAAACCTTCTTTGAATATTGTTTGCAAACCCGACAGCTCTACTTAACAGAAGCCATTACATTATTTACAAAGTAGCAGCTGCTCTTGTAAAAATCCAGCCTTTTTGGCATGAGAAATAAACTAGCTGATAAGTGAATGATAAGCCATTTGACTTCTCCGTTGTGTGCTCGGCATGGTATGCAGAGCCAATTCTGTACAATCTGATGTTTACAGAGCAATCCTAATGCACGACCTCCTTAGGCAACAGGGACACAAGGAACCTTTAAAACGCTGAAGCAAGCATTTAATCCGAACTCTTCATGCTGATCTTTGAAAAATTCAATAAGTTCAAAAAATGTAACTCCTGCTAAAGATAAAATATCAGGTTTTTGCTTCAGGAGTTGCAAATATATACCAATGAACTCCCAGTGAACCATGCAGACTTCAGGCACGCTGCTCCTCTTGGTGAAGAACTGAGTATATCACAGCATTGTTTTGGAATGAAACAAATCAAAGGTGCAAAGGAATACAGATGGTTAGGTAGAGGGAGTGCTGTAAACACCACAGAAACAGCCTCAACAAGCACACCTTTTTATTGAGGCAGTTCAACAAAACTCCCTTTTTACTTGAGCAGCTTCTTCCACGTTAATAAATACCCATCTCCAGGTATTATGTGAGCCACTCTCTATTTTGTTATTATAATTTTGACATGCTGGAATTAATCTCTCATGCTGAGTTAGACATTCTAAGGGAAGTAAGTGCAGCAAGAGGTGCCACTCAACCTACATGGAAGCGCTTCTACAGCCAATGGGTTATGTCTCCACACACCAAATCAGAGGGAACATCACTACCGACAGGAACAGGGCAGCTCTCTTTCTTTTGGGAACAACTGTTTTCCCAACACCGTCTTTCTAAATTAAACAGAGTCCATTAAAATCATTTAGTTTCCTGCAGGGAAACCACTTCAGAGCAGCCAGCTTTGTTGAGGGGTGTTGGGAATACAAACTCTGCTTCTTCTGTTCTGGTTTTCTATGGCTTCTTATTTCAGATTACATTATTTTGTTAATTCCCAGAGCTGCCATGCCTTCATTTGACAAACATTACTTGTTGAAATACTGTTTTTACAGTACTTTCAGAACCTATTGAGAACAGCTGTTGCTGCTGAGAGCTGGAAAAGGCACATTCAATCAGAATATCTCCCGTTTGTGCTGTAATTTAACAATTTGATACTTGAGAAGATAAGGTACTTCAATCACTACTAAGCAGCAACAACTCTTAGCACGAGCACAACATGTCATTATTTCACTGATTGGATATTAGGCACATTAGCAGCAGCAAAATGGCTTTGGTGGGTGTGCCAGGATGAGGAATAATTGAAATAAAAGCGATGTGATACTAAAAAAAGCAGTTAACATTCAAAAACAACTCTTTCTTTTTGAGTAGGGCAGACAGACTATGGCACCTAGCAGCCTTCCGCAGCTTGCAAGTGAAACCTGGCTTTAAGTTTTCTTTGCATGGAAATGCCAAGTCCTTGCTAGCTCCGGCAGAGATTTCAATCTTGACTACTCATTTGCTCTGCTAGAATTATACACAAGATTAAGCTAACCACTATACAGGCTGAACAGATCGTTTTATATCTCCCTGGAGCCTAGGTAATCAGGTTCCTCAGAAATTATGCTAGCAGTGCCAATAGTACTTAATTTAAAGAAAAAGGTGTGTCTTACAGGAACGATCCAGAAGTGGTAGCACCAAGCTGTGATGGGTCGCCAGCAGAAAACCTGAACAGCCAAGGATTTGCTTTTGACTCCAGGCCCTCTCCACCCAAAGGCTTGACTGGTGTCTCAGCAATGGAGAGCTCGTGTCTCCAGATGTTATCAGGTTGCTCAAACTGTGCGAAGTTTGCCTATATTCTTGGCAGCAGGGAGCAGCTCTCCTCTCGACTGCCAGTGTATGAGAAGGAGTCGCAGTGCCGAGAAGGAACCGGAGTGCCAAGGCTCAGCCTGGCCGCCCAGGGCTGCTTATGTTGAGCAATTAGAGCAGGTGCAGGAGGGAGGATGCTCCAGGTGACTAGGCATTTTCTTTGGTCGGTAAGTGGCACTTCAGATCTTTTTTTATCCTATTTTACATGACTATCTAGTTCCAGAGTAAGGCTGTGCTAGTGAGCACTGATGTTCCCACTATCTGGTGCATGCTCTGGAGCATTTCAGCAAAAGCACTCTGGGAAGATTTGATCTTTCTTCTGTGGTGCTCCAGAGATGCCACAGAGGCCCAATGGCCTCCAGCACTGCAAGGTCCAGCCCAGAGCATCTGAGCAAGTGCTGCTGAGCAGTGTGTTCCTTTCCTGCTCACCCTGACACTGCATGCTGGGCACACCCTCTGCCTGGCA